CTCTTCTTTCAACAAGTCCATTAACAGACTACCTGTTAGGAAAGTGTCAATTATTAATAAAAAATAATAAAGGTCCATATATTTATTGACGAGACATTACATTGAAAATATCGCCATTCAAGCAATTATTATTATAATCATTTCCTGTTAGTTTCAACTTACATGTATAACAAGCCATCCTGTAATCGAGTAAAATCTCTTCTTTCAAAATATATTTCGTCCAATAAACGTTCCAAAATTACTCTGGTGCTTTTTGTAGATTGCCTCTCTTTATCGCGAAATTGCACGTCGGTGGGAAATCACGGTGAGATGAAATCTGAAAATTGTAGAAAAGAAAACGGTCGCTGATCCTATTACCGATATCAATGAAACGCGACTTTCAAACAAGGATTCAACGTAGAATTGCACCTCCACGAAATCGCATCGCCTCTATCGCGATCCTGCTTATAATTAGTCAGTCTCGAGTGCGCTCGACAAAGAAACCGCTCGAGCGAAATTTAATCGTTCATATTGAAGTAGAGTTGAATCGTTTCACGGTGTTTGAAAGAGGCCCGTTTCTAGGAACGACGTTGGTTACCTCGTGACGCAATGGACGGCTATTGTCTTTAGCGACGTAAGTTTTCGAGAGCACGTTTTCATTTAACGGGCTGAATGCAGCTGAAACCCCGTCGCCAAAGCAACAATTGTACGTGTCCTGTAAACACGAGCTCGAATTATCTTTCGCAGAGAGGCATAGCAACGACGCTTTCGTCGTTTCGCAGCTCACAAAAGAGTCCTGCCGAGAAGAAAAGCGAGAAGAATGATCAAATATGTACTTCTCTCTACGACACGCGCTAAGCTGAATTTAAGATGCCCTTTTTCAATTTCAACTGTACGTTTCTGTGAAACGGGCACTTCACGATTTATGCCAATTTTTCTCGCGCCATTGGCCCTCTGTACGTTGCAGACGTTCTTAATTTTTTCACTGCAGGTGTTGCTCGAGAATTTAAGTTGAGAATTAACCAGTTAAGTGCGTTCTAGTCGGCAATGCTAATAAACTAATTTAATATCGTCTTTTTTAATTCTTTTTAATCTTTTTAATTAATCTTTCTTTCTTCAGTTCTTCTCGTTTCAAGCTTTTAGTAAAAATAACATATTCAGAAACGAATTGTCACTTCTTTTGTTAAATAAAAATATAATCCTCGATTTCGTAACTCTATTTTTTAAAACTTAATTCTGCAGTTAACAGGTTAAGTCATGTACATGCGTTGCGTGCTATTGGTGAAATAATTTCCTTAGGAACGAAGTTCACGACGAACTTTTGCCACCGAAATGAGATGTTCATACTTTAAGCTGAGATCACCGCCATATCTGAAAACAGATCAGCGTGGGAAAGTAGTTCTTCAGCGTTCTAACATTCGCCAGATCTATCCAACTATCTCAATTTTAGCTTCGTGTACGAATGTTCCCAACTTCCAACGCTCACTGTACTTCCAGATATTTAACTTCAGGAACTCCCTAGTTCCTGAATCCACGCTGCTCTCTGACCAGCAGCTTTAATCGCTCCCCTGCCGTGCACAAGTTAACACCCGCCCATAATATCGTCTTCGCTGCGAATAAGTTTCAAACAATTTGTATTAGTGTCGGTGTTATTAGAATATCAATTTTATTTCTCAACGAAAGTAAACTCCTGGTTCGATTCACTTGGAGTATTATTATATTTATATTTTATATTTATACTCTTCAGAAGATATACTTCGAAACGTAAATATTCACGTGTTTGAATTCGAACTTTCCACGGTATATAATCCTCGTATTATAAATTCTAAAAATTTGTATCGGTATCAGGGTTATTAGAAGCTCAATTTTATTTCTCAAGTAAACTCCTGGTTCGGTTGACTTGGAGTATTACTATATTTATATTGTACTATCCACGCCTCCCATATCCGAAAATAAGGATCCAAACAAGAACATGAAACGTAAGATACGGGATTGGTCGTGTAAGTAAAGCGATCGACTATGGATCCAACAAGCGTGGTTTCGAATCACAATACCTTATTTTTCGTTTAAACTCCTACAATATTTATCACTTATACTTTTCAGAACCCATACTTCGAAACGGAAATATTCACGCGTTCAAATTCGAACTTTCCACTGTACATAAAATCCTCCTACCATAAATTCTCAAAAAGTAGTCAATTTCCTTTCTTCGAAACGAAATTAAATCTTCAAAAACTACCCAAGGGTACGAAAAATCGAGCGCGAACCAACAGAGACGAGCAAACATTCCGGTAACTCTTTTCACGCAGGCAAAAGCTCGCATAATCTCGAAAGAGTATTATTTCTCAGGCCCGGGACCACGGAAAAACATGGAGCACCGCGTCGCCGCGGTGCTCAAAGGTGCCTAAAACAAAAACGCTCGCCGAGTCAAAGCTTTGCAGCGCGTCGAAGACATTGTGAAGCGCGTGACTTAAACCGTGCGCAAACGAGCTCGCCCCGGCTTAGAGCAACCCCGTGTCGGCGAACCGTCGAGTTTCCATGAAATTGCAGGGGTTCGTCGAGTGGTTCACGGCTTGGAGATCGCGGCAGCCACGATTGAAAAAGAAATACGATGGAAATCCTCCGGGCGGGCTAACGAGGTCACGTAGTTACTTCGCGTTTCCTCTGCATTTTTACGACGAACCGGAGCCCTTTGCGGGGCGAATTTATTGATGACGCTTCTGCTCGATACACACCCCGAGCAACGGAACTCTCATTAAGTCCGTCCGCGTAACAGAGGACGAGTTCAAAGAATCTTCGTCTCGAGCGTTCCTTATTAACGGGTTACGTGCAGCGTGAAACGCGTACGCCCACGCTAAACTTTCCATTGAAGGGCGCAGGGTTCTCGAACGCTTTTAAAAAATGGGATTCCTTTTTATTTAAAAAATTCTAAAGGGTCGTGATATGAACCTGTAGGATTAAATCGGATATTTAGATTATGACGAAAGTATTACAGACATAGAAGGTATTGTCCCAAAAATTTCGTGACTTATACTTGATAATTTTGTCAGGCAATATTTATATAAATAAACAGTCTAATCTCTTGAAAATTGATACCATCATTTTCAGTCGTCGTCTATCGTGGAGGACATTTCATTCGCAGTGAAGAGTTGTTCGCGCCATTGTGTACACCTTCAAGTACGGAAAATCAAAGAATATTTTATGTCAACCTGTCGTCCACAATCGAGGACACAAAATTGAAGAATTACCGACACTAGCGTTTAACTACACTCGAAAACTATACTATTACGATTTTTTTTGAATTCTTTTCCATACTAATTTTAGTCCAAGTTAACTCTAAAAATGAAATTACATTAGTACGAGATGAGAAAATAATTGAGGTCTGTAAGTGGGTTGTTTTACTCTCTATAAATCACAGTCGGACATTCTTAGTCAGTAGGACAGTATTAACTTGATGTTATTATTAAAGGATGCGACCTCGAGTGAAGACCAAGGGAGAAAAATTCATTACGTCTAAAAATTGAAAAATGGGGAAAATCGTGATTGTAATTTACATGATTCTTAGGGTTGTTAATAGTGGTCTCTACAAATCACAGTTTATATCACAGTCCGCCTAAACTACGAATCTGAAACTACGTATGTATATTAGTTAAACGCTTCAATTTGTAAAAATCTCTTGCTAACGCGCCTTCTTTTTAATTTACAGCACTGAACGCGTCTCTACTGAGAAGCTGATGAACCATCCACCGTCCCAACAGCGAGCAAGATGTGAAACGAGACTGTATCTCCTCTCCAAAGGGACCACGGCAGGGAAACGAGAAAGATGTTCAAGGCTCGGACGACAGTCTCCCCGTTGTCGGTTTCCTGGACCACGCAGACGGCGTCGTCCGTCCTAAGACTGACGTCGGGCATCGCGACGACCACGCTTCACACCAACGCTGGTAACGTTTACGGTGTGATCGATGAAACTGTGATCAGAGATACCGATGACGAATTGGACTACACGCCGTATGGACAGCGACCAGAAACGTACATAGTCCCCATCGTGTTCCTGCTGATACTCCTGATCGGGCTCACGGGAAACGGGATCCTCGCTTTGACCATACTCCGGCACAGTCACATGAGGAACGTTCCTAACATCTACGTCTTCTCGTTGGCCCTTGGAGACTTGCTGGCACGTAGACATTCTTAGTATTAACTCGATGTTATTAACACGTTGATCGCCACGTCGCCCATGTATGGGTGACAGTGCTTTTCACTGGAAAAGTACGAAAATTAATTCTGAAAGTTAAGTGTCACAGAAAATGAATTTAAATAATATACTTGAACTTTGATGAAGTTACGCAACTAAATACCGCAATAAATGTTTCATTACGCAGTTTCCAATAGTCTGTAAAGAAAGTTTAATCACAGTAGAAATTTTTCAGAGTATTGGTCTGGCAGTGAACGTGTTAATTAAAGGATGCGACCTCGAGTGAAGACCCAGGGAGAAAAATTCATTGTGTATAAAAATTGAAAAATGGGGAAAATCGTGATTGTAATTTACATGATTCCTAGGGGTGTTAATAGTGGTTTAAAATTTGGGAAAAATGTGTAGTTTGAAGTTTAATATATCCTGATGAAAAGAAAGATGCAGATGAAAAGAAAGTTACCCCTGCTAATCTAAATCTAATTACGCTTTTGCACTTTACACTTTTGCACTTTTACCGGAGACATTAATTTATATTAATAATTAATATTAAGATATAGAAAAATACCTCACGATTACTTGTTTAAATTTAATTCTCAACTTTTCATGTTCGCAAATATTACTTTCTCGAAAAACATTTCTCGAAAAACATAATAATCTGAAACTTTAAAATGCATTGAATATGTACATCTCCGAATTAATTGAATATTTACAATGCATATATACAATGCATAACATTCAGTCCTCGATTAAATATTAATAAGAATCACAGTTCAGAATAAGTATTCATCGAACACAGTAATCGTGAGAAATTGTTCTACTATCAGTTACGTTGCAGGTGATAGTGACATGCGTGCCATTCACCTTCACCGTCTACATCCTGGACTCCTGGCCTTTCGGGCTGGTCCTGTGCAAAGTCTCCGAATGCTTCAAGGATATCTCGATCGGAGTCTCGGTCTTCACTTTGACGGCACTCTCGGCGGACAGATTCTTCGCTATAGTCGACCCGATGAGAAAGCTTCACGCCACTGGTATTATAAGCTTCGATTTCCAATTTCAGTGTCTGCGAATCTCGGTCTTGAAATTACACCCAGCGACAGAAAACGTTTAAACTGGAGACCCTCGACAGTACGCTCGGAAAAGACTCTCGGAAAAGTTGACTTCTTTAGGAATTTTAAAGAAACCATCCTGATACTTTTAAAAATGAACAGTTTCTTTTTGTAAATGCTTTGAAACATTCTCTTATTAAGGTTTTCAAAATTTATATTTCGTCGTGACATATTAGGTTTACCGGAAAGTTCTGTCCGTTCCGGTTACAAGTTTTTAACAAGTACATGCATATTCATTAAAAACGATATACAAATTCCAATCATGCTGGCAAGATGTCATAAATAATGATAAAAATTGTATTGTTTAATCAATACTTTCCGGTAGACCTAATATAAAAATACATCTCTTGCTTACAAGTTTCTGTATTTTTCCTTTATTTCTCTTCTTTATTCATGAATGAGACATGGCAACGCTAAGACCAGTTTTCGATGAAAAAAATGTCGATGAAACAACGTACGAAACGTGTATGTAACAACTTAGATCGCAACCTGACGATTTGTTCTCATTGTTCAAGGTACAGGAAGAAGAGCAACGCGGTTTGCAGTGATCGTCGCCGCGTCGATCTGGCTGTTGGCCATTATGTGCGCCATTCCAGCTTCCTTTGCCTACATCAGAGACTTCAGGGTGAACAAGAACGTGAGCTTCCGCGTGAGTTCGAACGAAATAAAACAATCTGCTTATCGTTTCTACAAGTGAACCAACGACTGATGTTCCCTCTCGATCGTGTTGCTTATCGAGCTCCCTTGTTGATTTCGAAGGCCTGCTATCCCTACCCGGAGGAATTCGGACCAAATTACCCTAAAACCATCCTGGTCTGTCGTTTCTTCATTTTCTACGCGGTGCCACTCAGCATCATCGCTGTCTTTTACATCCTGATGGCCAGGCACTTGATGCGAAGCACCAGGAACATACCTGGGGAGATGCAAGGTCAGGTAAGTCGAAGGAACAACGGGGAAAAATTTAGTAATGGTGAAATTCGATAAAAAAAAAACTACATTTTTCAAATATAATATATTTTGAATATAATAATATCGTTTGATACTAAAGAGGACCAAAAAGTAAGATGGAAATTCAAACTAGAGATACTAAACAGGTAATGGAATACGAAGTGTACAATTCCCTCGAGTACAATTTCCACGAGAGACTATTATTCTATTATTAGAATAAGCGCCTGCTCCAAGGAGTATTCAATTATTATAATAAGTTTGTTCTTCTCGAGGAAAAGATTAAATTATTCTGCAAACGACGAATGATAATTAAATGTCACGATTGATCCTTTTTCCTCGTTTAATCAGCGAGCAAATTTATTAATGGTCAAATTCAACGAAAGAAATTATATTTAAAAAGAAATTTTAAAATACTTTTAAGTATGCCTATTGTATTAGGAATATTCTGATGCGATATCAATCCCACAAAATACATTTTTAAGCTGTTCCCATCTGTTCCAGTATCGTCGTTCCCATTCAAATATTTATCGTGTACTTTGACAATAAGTCTCTGCTTTACTCTCCTGAGACCTTTCAAATGGAACGTCACATAATCCTATAAAACTCGAGGAACAAGGTATCAACGCGCTGCAAATCGAAATGCGATACCTTACTTGTGATACTTGTGAATTCGCAGAAATTTCACCCTGAGAACACGTTCGAGATTTATTAGAAAGGGATGCGATTCGGAACAGACGTTCACAGAATGTTGGAAAGATATAACATCCTGTTCGAATTTTCGGTCCCGGCCGCGTAGAAGGAACGCTAATCTAAGTACAATTTCGAGGAGAAAAGCTTTATGGCACACTCGCTACGAAACTTAACTTTGCGCGTTGTCATTTTAACTAACGAAGCTTCCAAACTGGGTCGTTTATATCGACCACAAGTTTTCTTCCTAATTCAGATTTTTTTTAAATCGACCTCTAAGTGTTCCTAATTTTTAAATTTTCAATATTTCTTAATTATTCTTATATTACGTTCAATTTCGATTATTTTCAGCAAACATGAATCACGTGAATTCTTGCAATATGATTAAATTAGTATGCAATGTACTATGCAAAAACTCGTTATATATTTCAAGAATAAAAATTCGAAATGACCCCTGAAAATTGACCCTGCAGAAAATTCCCTTCATGCATACTTAAAAGTCTCTTCCGCCGCTGATAACGGGAATATATCATTCGAACGTTCGACGAAAGTTCGAAAGAAGTACCATCTAAGGCGAACTTTTGACCGCAGCCGCGCAGAACAAATGATAATTTAAAAAAAATGTTCAAGATGAAAGGATGGACGAAGGATTTCCTTGGGATAGAAAATTCACGTCTTCGCGTAACGTCGGACGTGCTTGATTTCAGGCGAGGCAAGTAAAGGCGCGGAAAAAGGTAGCCAAGATGGTAATGGCGTTCGTGATAGTCTTCGCGGTGTGTTTCTTTCCCCAGCACGTCTTCATGTTGTGGTTTCACACCCATCCTACCGCACAGGCCGATTATAATGCGTTCTGGCACTACTTTCGTATCATTGGATTCTGCATGGCGTTCACCAACAGCTGCATCAACCCCATCGCTCTGTACTGCGTCAGCGGTACATTCAGGAAATACTTTGACAGGTAATTGAATTGATGAAACGCAATAAATATTGAATTTATTATGTCGTCTTTAAAGTCTAAAATGAATGCTTGAAACAAGCCATCATGATTGAATTTATTCTATTCTGTAGCATGTACGTATTACATGTAAAAATGTATTATATTATGCGAGAACAAAATATTAGCTTCATAAATATTTTCATTACTATGAAATACTTGAAGTGTTAATACAGAATTAATTTTTAAAAGAACAGAATTCGTTTAATCTTTCTTTTTGAATATATTATTGAAAATATCGCATATCACGAT